TTCCCTCGCCACCCGGTGGTGACTCTGGTGCTTTCCCGCCTGCCCTAAGCACGGCTGTGCTCCCTCGGTGCGCTCTCGGCAGACAGCTGCCGCAGTGGCCCCTTTTACCGCTCGCTGCTGAGGGTCTAATGGCGACGCCAGGCCGAGCTCGTGTGGTAAAGATACTGGGCATGGAGGGAGCTCCCGCTTCTCCTGCTGGTGGGAGAAGTGGTGCGTGTGGAGGCTTGCTCCGAGCTGCTGACTGACATTTCTGTGGTAGTACCTGGGTACTACTGCTTGCTGCTCCCTGCCAGTCGTCAGGGTGCTTGGCCAGGTGAGACAAGGGTGTGGGGAAATGCAGGCAAGTCAATCCTGTCAAACTGTGTTGGCCTTGTCTTAAGCTGTATTGGGACTTGAGTGGCAATAAACATTCACAAGTTGTTTGTGATACTGGTTCTTGGAGAGCAGATGATGCCCTGGGAGAAAGTAAAAGACCTTTTGGGAAATTCTGTTGTGAGGAATTTTAGGAAAATTGAAATTGTTTTGAGACATGCTCTTGTCCTTGAAGGTTGGTTGGAGCTTGTACACCCTAAACTATCATGGAGAAGTTTATGTAGGTAGTGTGTGCTGCCTGCTTTATTTACACAACACACAGCTGCATAAGTAATGAAATTAAGCTGCACAACTGGATGCCATACTTATAGTTGGGATATACTACCCTCAGTCCAGCCGGTTCCCTCAGTATTGAAAGCAGTGTGACCATTTTCATTGTGTCTAGAAGAGCGTGACTGAAAACAGAGTATACTGAACAAAAACTTCCTCACTGTAGCTATTAACCTCTCTTAACCTCCTATTAAAAGGTAATACTTGTTGCAGAATGCAGAGCAGGTGTAGCTGATCAGAGTGTAACTTCTCACAAGCATGCATTTAGGGGTAACTATTTTCCTTAACAAGTTGTATCATTAGCAATAAGGATGAAGTTGAATGTGTCTTTATATAGCAAGTATTGGTTAAGTATATGTGTGTTAGGTGAAGTATATTAGAGGTTTGTGGGGGAAACAAAGACAATACTTCCCCTTTAAGTCTTGTAGCCATCTGTATTACCTCATTTGAGCAAAAGGAACTGTGGATTGTAGGTTTCCAAAAGCAATTTATTTCCTATTAGGCTGCAAAGTATCATAATTCTGAAATTCCTGCCGAGGAAACAAAAGTCTGCTAGTCAAATTTACTATGATATCTCATTCACATTCTAATACAATGATCTTATTTGTTAGTTAAAGAAGCTGTACCACTCTCCTCCATCCCTTTAATTGATGATCTTATCTCAAGTATTGGAGACCGAGTCTTTAAAGATTTTTCCTTATTTTTTAAGTACAGCTGCTAACCATATCTGTCTGCAGTATTTGGAGTTGTTAAATACTGTTAAGCTCTCATCTTTTTTTTCTTAAATAATTATCTGATTATTTTTCAGTTTGTGGCCTTATATGTAATCCAGAATTATCTGAAATAATTTCTCAAAATACTTGATAAAAAAAATACCCTACAGGTTAATTGTAGCCAATCAAGCAAACAAATCTGGTAACCTAGATCAAAATAACCATGAATGAGAGTGTTTCTGGGCTGGGTGTGGCAGAGGTAAGTGCATTGATACCAGGTGTGGGCTAGAGCTTGACTTTCTGAACCAGAAAGGTGCAAGACTTGAAGGGTTGGCATACTCAGGGAAGAAAAAGAGAACACATTTAGAAACTTAATACAGCTTTCATTCCAGTCAGTAAAGTCTCTAAAAAGATATAAAATGGCATTCTCCAATTTCCTGAAACCTTTGATATGTAATTATTAAGATACTTCTATGCAGTTTAGAAGCAATAATGACATGCAGCTGATAATGAAGGTCAAACTCTGTAACAGCATTTCAATGGTTAGGGCTTCTGTCTCCTAGTTTAGTTGGCTTTTTCAGCATGCATAGCTTAAAGAATCTGTCAGACAGCTTGCTGCAAGCCATTATTCCTTATCCCTCTCTCTTTTAAAGGCTTTAGTATCTAAATAAAATAGCCTAGAGATAGACAGAATTTTGTAATAGTCTTGTTTCCAGATTCTAGGTTGGTGGTTTGGGTTGGGGGGGGGTGGTTTGGGGTTTTTTTGTTTTGTTGGTTTGGGTTTTTTTGTTCTTGTTTTTCATGCCTTTGCTTTTCAGCTTTACATCTCTTCGTAATTAAAAATTGAAGGACTATTTAAAATAGTATTATTTTCATTGCGATGTTTATGGTTTATCTGTCCACGGAAAGATGATTATATAAAAAAAATCAACACTGAAAGTTGCATACAATCAATATCTGGGGAAGGAAATGCATAAAGAAGGGTGAGCTGTCCTACTAACTCAAACACAGTTTGCGTCATGAGAGCATTTTGACAGTAGAGGGAGCTATGAGACGCTGAAGACCACAGAAATACAGGCTAGGAGAGGGTTTAGTTGTAAAAATAACTAAAGGAAAAATGTTTTTCGGTTTTTTTCATTTAAGGCCAGCAACATGACAATCAAGGACAGCCAAGAAAACAGGGGAGTATATTTTGCGAGATATTTTAAAAACCCATTAAAATCATAATGTAAATATACCCGTTCAGAAGTTATATTTGAAATTGGACCTGTAACAGCACGTGAATAAGCACAGAAGATTATCTAGCTGTTTACCTTCATCAGGGAATTCTGTGATGAAGTGCTGTGAGACTTGACAGATACGGCTGCTTCAAGGGGCAGTTTTACTGCAACCCTGAAGAAATAGTGCAACTCAAGGGAGGTGAGGCTGGATTGAAAATAGTGTTTACAGTCTTAACAACATGAGCAGAACATGGTGTGTGTTTGTCACCCATCGGAAACACCAGTGATTGAAGTCAACATAGTCTGAAATCATTCCTTATCTTGTTAAAATACCTTCAATATTTTTAGTCATGTCCTGAAAGAAACTCAATCAGAGCCTGCTATAATACTTTTCCTGAAGCAGAATGATTTGAACGCCTAATAATTTGGAACAACTCAAAATCTGCGTGTTTAAAAGTATGGTCATACTTTTAGAAACAAATACTATGAAATACTAGTTTATGTGAGATATCTGTATATCATCAGTACGTGCTTTGTATTATTTCTCTTGATATGAGCAAGGTATCAATGGGATATCATTGAAGTCCTCCAAATTAGCTGTATTATCACACCACGCTTTGTTTATTCCATATTTATTTTTACACAGAATAGTCTTAGAGACTTGGGCATTGTCAGGTTTATTTTAGGTTTTGCCTTCATTATTACACAATATTGAATACGCAGAGAAACTGTTTATCAATATAAATATTATGGTAAGGAAACTAAGTTGTCGTTTGAGAACCAGTGCAAAAAAATATGTAAGTTCTGCTTATAGAAAATAGTTTCTGCAGCCTTTTACAGTATGGCACTCAGGTAGGACTTGGTACAAATAACGGTTTAGCATTTGTATCAAATTATAATTGGAGTTTGTTTATTCAAGGCAAAACAATAAACATAAGGAATTAGCCTTTGTTTTCAACAGGTCGAAGGAATTGCAGCTTAGGAGGTGCTGTGAGGGGATAAAAGGGGGAAAAAAAGCCCTGAGGATATGTAGGAAAATGGTCTTTTTTCATTGGTTTTTGATTCTGGTGCTGTTCTGGGTGAATTAGCCCCTCCTGAAGATTCTCTTGGCTTCAACTCCTTCATATACATAGGTCTGTTAGGAAATGAAGAAGAAAAATCATTGGCTGCTATTACAAAGTTTTGTTTCACAGATGCTATTGAGAGATGGTTAATAGTGATTTAACTAATCGTGACTGGTGGCCCTGTGGGGCCTACTAGCCCTTGTGCAGGCTCTGAGGAAAAAAATGTAAGAAAAGCAGCCTGTTGTCAATAGGCATAAATTTTCTATGCAACCATTTAAACCCCTGCGGGACAGCTTTTGGGGGCTCCAGAAAAAAACCCAAAGTGTTGAAGTGCCATATTCCCAATACCACTAATTAACAAGTTTCATCTATGTGACTGCTTTTATTAGAAGTGTGAAGAAGTACTGAAAGGTTGGACTGTATGTTTTTGACATCTCAAACCTCACACCTGTCCGTAAAGTTGGTGGGTTTTTTTGATTTACTCTTTTAAGAAGCTTGTGACTCAGTAGCTGAGAGGATCTTAAAACATTGCAGGTCAGTTCAGTTTCTGGCTTTACTGCAGGGCTGTGAAACATTTTCCTTTTGTCTCAAATGGATGGCCTCTGGGCCATCATCCTCTGCCCCAACCCCAAACTTTGTTTTAAAAGGGTGTTTATCAGCCATTGACAACATTACCGTGTAGTAAGCTCCTCTGGTAAGGCTTTCACAGGAAAAGGGCCTTCAGTCAGCACACATCTATATTGTGTGTATATATCTATCCTCATATATATATCTTCCATGTACAGCTTGTATTCACAGGCTTCAGAATGCATTGATAAGATACAATTCACATGGATAGAAAAACATAAAACTCACAGATTGTGAGTTTTATTTTAAAGTTTTAAATTTTGATACATTATTCAACTTGAGAATTTTAACTAAAGATAAATGAGGTTATTTGGCTTGACGAAAATATCGCCTACTTTCAGAACAGCTTTTAAATTTTTTTTAGACCATTATATTGTAGTTTTATGTGACTGCTTAACTCACCTGAACAAGTTCTTCACCTATGATTTCTCTGTATGCTGTGAGTACTTTTCCATTATCTTTTCTAGTAAATGTTCCTACAAGTTTATTTCCTTCCATGTTCCAAGAACCCTATAATGGGAAAAAAACCCAAATATTTTGCAATAGATATGATATTGAGTTGATTTAAAGACTGCAGGAA